GGCAAGTTGAGAATCTAAAACTATCCTGTGATTTTTCTGAGTATCATTTACTCAGTTACTTAGAGAGAACAAAGAGTTCAAAGGACACTGGAGAAACAGAACCAAGGCAGTGGCTGCTGAGTCTCTGGGGCTGCAGGAACACTGGGGTAGCTCTCAGAGTTTCCCCTCCCAGTCTAAAAGAAATTGAGTTGAAGGTTTTTCAAGTTTACGTTAAAAAGAATTGATTTTGGTGGCTGCGATTTGAGGATCTTATAATATACCTTGAAGATCATTAGCAGTATTCTGCAGTACAGAAAACCCAGATTGAGGTTTATCAGCTGTCAGAAAGTTCAATATCCTTTGAGAATAGTTTCTTCTCTTCTTTCTTATACTTGTGAGGCTAAGAGGGGATGGGTGCAAAAAAGGGCTCTTCCATCTCCAATACTTTCTTAATCCACAAGACATCTTGCCCTGTGCACAGGAGATGTCTTCCAGTAGTAGAGAAGGTTTATTGAAGCATTTAAAGAACAATAGGGGGAAGGCAAAAGTTGCAGTTTTTGTGTTTGGAAAGGGCTTTGCAGAATCTCCAAGGCTTCCTGGACAGAAAAGAGGTATTTATATTACAAGGCATGAAGTCAGTCAACTAACTGACCATGAATGTCCTTTAAGGAAGGGAAAGCATGTAGGTGAAAACCAACAGACTCTCAAGAAGAGGTGGATTTTTGTCTTACAAAATAATTGGTTTTTGGTTTTCTTTTTTAAAAATATTTTTAAAATTTATTTTTAAACAGAGGGGAAGGGAGGGAGAAAGAAAGAGAGAAACATCAATGTTTCCTTGCCTCTCACATGCCCCACACCAGGGGACCTGGCCCACAACCCAGGCATGTGCCCTGACTGGGAATTGAACCAGCAACCCTTTGATTTTCAGGCCTGCACTCAATCCACTGAGCCACACCAGCTGGGGCAGTTTTTAGTTTTCTCTTTGCTGGGATGACTTCAGAAGTAAAATTATGATTTGGACTTCGTTTCTATAAGGCTTTCTACTCACCAGACTTAGAACAGTTCTAAAGTCACCTAAAGTCAGAGGCTGGAGTCCCTTCAGGAGAGGGAAGGAGGAAGGATAGAGAGATGTGCACATGTGAGAATACTTGGAGAAGCTTCCGTGCTTGTCAGAGGCAGGTCTTGGCAAGAATCACCAAACACCTTTCAAGCAGGCTGCTGCATTGCTGAGAGTGGACTGGCTGTAGGGAAGACTGATCTAGTGGCAAGAAAGCAGTCACTCTGGTTCAGTCTGCTACTGCCCGCTGGGTCCTCATTTCTCTTGGGGTGCTTCCATTTCAGTCACTGATACCATTGTCCTTCTACTTCTATTTCTCAACTTAGTGCACAGACGAGAACTCCAGTATAATGCTGGAGGAATAGTGAAAAGGGATACCCTTATCTCCTTATTGATATTTGGGGGAAAGCATTCCACTTTCCACATTAAGAATTATGTTAACTCTAGGCTTTCAGTAGATTCTGTTTATCAGTTGAGGACATTTCTTTTTATTTTTTGTTTGTTGATTGGTCTCAGGAATAAATTTTGAATTAAGTCAGATTGGCCTTTTCTATGTCTTTTGAGGTGATTGCATAGTTTTAGATTTTTAGTTTGTAAGAATGATAAGTTGATTGATTTTCAAATATTAAACTAAAATTGCATTCTTGGGGTAAATCTCAGTTATGATGTTTTTGAATGCATGATGTTTTGTTGGATTCAATTTGCTAAGGTTTCATTTATAATTTTAGCATTATGAGGAATATTAATTTGTTGTTTTCTTTTCCTGTAATGTCTTTGTCTGATTTGGTATCAAGGCAATATGGCCTCGTAGAATGAGTTGGAAAGTGTTCTTTCCTCTTCCTTGGTAATATTCTGGTACTATTCATTTTCTGGTATTAGCTTTCCTTAATTGTTTTTGTAGAATTCACCAGTAAATCCCTTTGGGCCTGGAGTCATCTTTATGGGAAAGTTTTTAACTAGAAATTCAATTTCTGAAATAGATACAGGACTAGTTAAGTTATCTATTTCTACTATAGGGACCTGTGTAAGCTTGTATCTCTCAAGGAATGCATCCATTACATTGAAGTTGTTAAATTTATTTACATAAAATTGCTCCTCATATTCCCTTATTATTTATTCAATATCCATAAATTCTGTAGTGCTGTCATTGTTGTCATTCCTGTTTTTGATAGTTTGTGTGTTTTTTCTTTCATTCTTGGTCAGTTTGGCTAGAGGTTTATTAATTTTATTTATCTTCTCAAAGAAGCAGCTTTTGGCTTCATTGATTTTCTGTCTTGTTTTTCTGTTTTCTATTGCATCTTTTTCCACTCTTATCTTTATTATGTCCTCTTTCCTGTTTACTTTGCATTTCATTTGTTTTTCCCTTTTTTGTTTCTGAAGGTGGAAGCTGAGGTCACTGGTTAAAGACCTTTTTCTTTTCTAACATAGGTATTTGGCATTAAAAAATTCCTCCTAAATAATTTAAGATGCTTTAGCGGCATCCAACAAACTCTTTTTTTAAAAAATAGTTTTACATCTGTTTTTCCAGCTTTACTGAGATATAACTGACATACAAGCATAAATGCTGATATGCAGTGTTTTCAATTTCCCTTTTGAATTTTGCTTTGACTCTGTTCCCTTTAATCCTTTTGGCACTTCTTTCCCTGGCTTCAGGTAATTTCACCACCTGCATGTGCTAATCAGTACTCGATGAATACCTGAGGGGGCCCTCTGCAGGCCTCTGGAGTTCTCCCTTTGCACATCACTCTCTTCTCTGCTACTCGATCCTTGTGAACTCTGCCCTCCTTGGTTTTCTTCAATTCTCAGCTATGTTTCTTTAACTCAGGGAGTTGGACCCTGCCTGGGTTCCCTCTTCTTGAGCCACAGGCTTCATTGTCTTATCTCCATGGTCTTGATAATTGTTATTTCATATATTTTTTTTCAGTGTATTGATGATTTGGTTGGAGATTAAATCTGTTCCCTATTACTCCATCTTGGTCAGAAGCAGAAGCTGGCAGTGTTTTGTTTTTACAACCTAGTGTTGGATGTTAAAATCGATTTATTAGGTTATTACAAACATTAAAAATAAAGTGTTATAAAATAGTAAATAAAAGTTAGTGTATTCCATGTATTAAGAGTAAGTTTTTTGAAGACTTTTTTTAGTTACATATATATATATATGTATATATATATGCATTGGATTATGATATAAAAGGCATTTCATACTATGGATCATGGTTAAAAAACAAAGAAAACCTTGAGAAATGCTGTCCTAACAGTACAGGTTCAGTATAGGCAAAGGCAAGAGTCTGAAACACTTTGTCTCTCTCCACCTCTGCCTTAAAGAGTTCATAGGATCTGGGGAAAATTATTTCTATTTCATTTTGTCCATCTGAAAAATGTTCATCATCTCTGGTCTGAGAATCCCTGAAATCTCTGTGCAATACCTTGTAGTTCTTAAAATTGAGATAGATCAATAATTTAATCAATTAAGAAATAGTTATTGTTTGCCCCATGTGCTTCAGGCACTGTGCATGATAATCTCAAGTTACCAGCATGAATGACAGGGAGGCCCTCCAGGCTGTGAGCTAGAACATACTTGGCTACCAGAGGAAGCAGGAAGTAAGATTTGAAGAATTGCTGTGTCAACTTTCAGCACTGGGAGGATTCAAAGATTGTGGAGATGGGAGGGAGGGCATCCAGATGGAATAGTTAGAGGGATTTGCAATCTTAGATATTAAGAAAGTGAGAGTTCAGAGGGCTCGTTTGAAGAATCCCAATGCTAGTTTATTGCATCTTAGTCATTCATTACACACACACATTTTAATACTTACTATGTCCTTGAGATATATCAATGAACAAAATGACCGTTGCCTTCATGGAGTTTACATTCCACTAGGAGAAATGCAGTAAATAATAAATATAATAAATAAGTGAATGATCTGTTGAAAAATGGTAAGGACTATGGAAAAACACTTGAGCAGTAAAAGGGTAATTAGAAGTGGGGCTGCCAGTTCTAATTTTATGTGGAAGATATTCAATGCGGGTATATTTAGAATCTAAATTTAATAGTAGTATATATTGTAATACAGATTCTAAAAATATCCCAACATAATTAGAATCTTCATGTTGCATTGACACTTTGCGGCCACTAGGACGCAAATAGGCCATTTCTGAGAAAAACGGGGTGAGGGTGGGTTGTGTGTTTGTGTGTGTGTGTGTGTGTGTGTGAGAGAGAGAGAGAGAGAGAGAGAGAGAGAGAGAGAGATGGAGATGTACGTAATTATGCACATACCCTACCCCCAGGTGTTCTGCAGGGGCAAGGTAGAAGAGTGATACTGTGTGACTTGGATCAAGACAGTTTTGCCCTTTGCTTTCCTTCCTTGAAAGGAGTTAGCGGCCGAGTAGAGGAATGAACTTCAGCCTGGTAGTTCAGCAACCAGTGCCCGTCACAACCCAGTGATGGTGGAGAGAGACAGACCTGCTGGTCTTTTCTTCCGACCCTGCAAGGAGATGGTTATGGGTTCTCTGAGAGGATTCCCGCGGTTACACTCAGCGCTGGGCGTTTGTATAAAAGCCCCACTAGATGCTTTCTGTTTCCTTGTAATTTTTAAAATGTCTCAGAGATTTAAGCATTTACTTGGACTTTACGATTTTTTCGATCCTCCCACCCCAGTCTCTACCGGCAGATGGGTGATCATTCTCAGCTTTTGGACGAGATCCCATCCAGTCGCCCTTACTGGCTCAGAGAACTGTCCGACCTAGCAAGCGGCGCGCTAGCTGGGCACGGGCGCGCACGCGTCGGGCGCCCGCAGGTTGCGCATCTGGCACCGGAGCGCGCACCCCGAGCAGTTGCAGCCGCAGCCGCGGCCCTTAGTTTGTGCTCTCAAGCGTGCGGGGTGCTCTCTCCCCGCGCGGGGGCACCAGAGCCCTCAGAAGTGTGTGGCACTGCGGTGCATTTTCCTAGTTGCTTCTAAATGACTGCGGAAAAACAGCTTCTCCGAGCCGCAAATAAGAAGACGGATTCTCAGACCAGGCTTGCTAATGCCCCGCAGCCATCATGTAACTGAGCTCGCAGAGCAGTTACGATTTGTTACCCGACCCTCCGGGATCGCCTCATTTGTCCCTAGTGAGATCCTGAGGCTCTGGTCGTGCCGGGCTTCTCAGTAGCTGGATGTATGTCGTGCACCGGGCAGCACGGGCGCAGGGCACGCGTTCCCGCACACCCGCGCACACCCGAAAACGCACAAGGTACGGCAGGGGAGCAAGGGCTTTGGGTGCCCCGAGTGGGGGTGGGCATAGCGGGGAGTGATCTGGGAATGGCTGCATCCTGCCAGGCTGACAGATGATAGAAAATGACGCGGCGCCACACATCGGACAGGCCAAGGCTGCAGCCGCGCACTTACCGAACCCAATACGCGCCAGGCGCGCTCCCTTCCCCTCACATGTCTCTGTTTCCCGGGCTTGTGATACCAGAAAACCGCAGGAAAAAGGCCCACTTCGAGAGCTAGAGTTGCGTTTGAATACTCCCCTCCTTCTACAAAAGCACCAACAGGAAGACCCTCCAAAATCACGGATTCCCAAATAGATATCCTGGAATGGGGGCCTGTTCCTTGTTACCGATGTTGAATACGTTTTGGTGTTTACAATATTTATTTATTTTTAGGATAGCTAGCCCTCCCCTTTAGGAAGGATGGTAAAGGAGAACGCAGCGGGGAGTGAGGATTCCTATAATAAGAATCAGCGCATTTTTCAGAGCTGAACCGAGCTGGGTTTTCATTTCAAAAAAGGAGACAGGCTCTGATGCGATTGTAGAAGAGACTGCGTTGTGAATTAGGGACTGGGAGGTGTTGAGCAGCGGAACGGTCCATTTCAGAGGTACCTGGATCTAAATGAACACACACACACAACACGGACGCGCGTCTACACTGCCAGGATGTGTGTGTGCGCGTATGTGCGCGTGTGTGAACTCCCACATGCTGCTGCTGTCTGCTTCTGGCCAGTGGCACCGATGCCTCCCTCCTCCCCGCTCGCCCCCAGATTCCCCTCCCCTCCTTGTTGCTTTTGTCTGGAGGGTGTTATGGGTTTGTGTGTGTATGAGCGTGTGTGTTTTTGGATTTCAGACTAATTTTCTGGAGTTTCTGCCCCTGCTCTGCGTCAGCCCTCACGTCACTTCACCAGCAGTAGCAGAGGCGGCGGCGGCGGCTCCCGGAATTGGGTTGGAGCAAGAGCCTCACTCGCTCCTTCGCTCGCGCTCTCTGCGCTCGGTGCCCAGCGGCAGGAGGAGCCTGGACCCAGGCGCCGCCGGCGGGCGGTAGGCGCCGGAGGCCGGGTGAGCAGCGAGGGCAGTGGCCTCCCTGGTTTCGGCCCTCACTGTGCCCCCTGGGGCGGCTGTGGCGGCTCCCCAGGTGGGACACGCCGCACCACCTGCCCGCGCCCCCTGCACCCAGCGGCGGTGGTGGATTCTGCAGCATCATGGGGGGTGGGGGGGCGTCTCGGAGCCATCATAGCCGGCAGTCTCTTCGTCCCCCTTTCAAAGGGTCCTTCTCCTGGCCTGTGCCATGGAATCCGGTCTCAGGGACCCTAGCCCTACCTTCCCTCTCTAGACTTCAGACTTGGAAAGAGAATGGGCATACTGGTGGCCCCAGAGGCATCAGTGCCATCGAGGGGCAAGTTTATTTCTGGAATGGGAGCTGGGCACTTATCTACCCACAGTCTCCTGGCTGGGGTCAGGGTGGGGGTGATGCGAGCGCTAAAAGAGAGTGCCTCATTTCATGGTGTCTGGGGTCCTATCCCCAGTCTCATGTGTGTCTGTTTGTCCTCAGCTCCGAGGTGCGTCCGGAATCCCAGTGCGCCCCCAGAGAGTCCCGGGAGCGCCCGCCGTGGCCGGTGCCCGGAACGCTGGGCCATGCTGCGGTGCCCGCGGCGGAGCTGCGAGTGCTGGTAGCGCCCCCTGTGAAGCAGCCGGAGATGCCCCAGGCACTGTGAACAGTGCTGCCCTTCAGGACATACTCAGCTTTGGACGCACTCGACTCTGCGACTCTGCGGCCAGTGACCAACATCCAGCAGAGAGAGTGGCGAGCGCGGCAAAGACCACTCAGCACTGGCAGGGGAGACTGACCGGTGCAGCACAGGGACACGTACTCAGTCTCACTCCAGCTGGCACTGGTGGCTAGGGATGTCGACCTGGACAAGGTGGCATGGACCTGCAATGGCCCGACTCTGGGGCTTCTGCTGGCTGGTTGTGGGCTTCTGGAGGGCCGCTCTCGCCTGTCCCATGTCCTGCAAATGCAGCACCTCTCGGATCTGGTGCAGCGACCCTACTCCTGGCATCGTGGCATTTCCAAGATTGGAGCCTAGCAGTGCAGACCCTGAGAACATCACCGAAATGTGAGTTCCTGATGTTCTTCTTTCTTCTCTCTTGGCCCCTATGACCGGGGCTGGCCAGGCAGGCCCTTCCTGGGCATGAATGTTATCTCAAGTCTGGGGAGAAGTCAGAGATGAGGTGTGCAGGATTGGGCCATCTGTCAATTACCTATCTGTTTCACTGGCTTGGGGCTGATACCATGGGGAGAAGTGTGACAATTTAAAATACATTACATACAAACACACACACACCCCTTGCACCCATTGTAGGAAGGCATTCTATATGCACTTTATAATTCCAAGTCCTGCTGTGTGTGCTTTAAGCTGTCCATATGCAATAACTTAATTTTGGACATTTTTGTTTGATAAGATGCTATGTGTATGTTGTGTTAGGAGAAGTTTCAGTAATATTTACCAGAAAGGAGTTTAAGGTAATTAACTTTTTGAAATTTGTTGGAGGAGGTTAGAATCTCTCCCTCACAACCTTTCTCAGAGGTTTGGAGTTGACCAGTTTCCCTTTTCATTTTACACATCACATTTTGCTTAGGAGATTGCATTCAGAGATGGCCTTGAAAATGATCTGTAAGAGGAGAAGTTTTGAGTGTTGAAAAGCACTTGCTCAAAAGAGAAAATGTGATTGTTGGAAGCCTAAAAGCCTGCTCTGATTTAATTTGGAATTGACTTCTCAGAGATATAATTTTGAGACCATTTGGATTATAAATCTTAATTGTCCATTGAATAATTTCCCAGGACTAGGTTGGATGATAGAGCAGTGTATAGTACTCAGATGAATGCTGCCTTTAGCATGGGACACCTAGGTCCCTGGAAATGTTTGGGCTTGTTCTCATCTGATGGAGAAGCAGAATTGTGCATTTCTGTCCTCCTCTTTTGATGCCTTGTGACAAATACATTACCAAGAAGGAATTTACCAGTTCTTTCTCCAGCATTCCCCTGTCACCTCTGCTATAGGTGTTTTTATTTATTTTTTGCTCTCACCTTCCCCTCACTCCACTTTGTTATTTATTTCATTAACATGAAATTTTACTCATCCATGTAGAGGGTTGTAAGGCACACTTTCTCCTGGTTTCCTTATGTGTTTGATACTAAGACAGGCAGCCCTGAAAGTAGGGCTTGGCTGTGGCCTTCCGGTTGGCGAGTGCGCATGCATTTTTTTCCCACAGAAAACGCACAGCTTGTTTCTGCCAACGTATGAACGAGATAACCTGTTTTTTTTTTCATGTAAGTAAGAGACCCACATAGTCTCTGTTTGTTCTGCTGGTGATGTTCATGTTATAAGGCTTGGGCGGAAGGAAGTGACAACAGAACAGAGGGGAAATGTACTGGCCTAGTACTGCTGAGATGTACCGGGAGCAGCCAACTGTCAGGCTGGATCCAGGAGGCTTGGTTCTCAGTCTTTTCTTGCAAGGAGAGCAGTGGTCAGTCTGAGAGAAGGGAGGGTAGGGCCCTGGCCATGCTGTCCCTGGGCTGGGCTGGTCCAAGTTTGCCGGGGCTGGTCAGAGTGTCTATGGCCTTTTGTCAGGATCTGAGGCTTTTTCATGAGATGGGATGTCAGTGGTCAGATGCAGGAAGTCATATGGAATTCAGAGCTCTTCAGATTATTTTGAGACCATGGGCAGTGCCTTTGTACAGTTAGATGTTTTGTTGTTTTAAAATTCTTAGATGATAGATAATATAAAGAGGGAGGAGATGAGATAGGGCTAATCATTTTCATTTTAACTTTTGTTCACTTTAATATTTTAAAGGTCATAAAAAAGACAAAACTTTTTAAATTAAAAAATATTATTTTAAATATTAGTGGTCTTAGCTACCATATATATATATATATATATATATATATATATAAAATCTACTTTATATATATATATAAGAGCTTTCTTATATAAGTCTCCACAATTGCTGTTGTTCTTTTTATATCTGATGATAGGTTCCTATTTTCAGGATTTTTAAAATTGATTTTTTTTATTATATTTACCAAAGCTCTCATCACAGTTATTCATTCAATAATGGCGCTCCTGATTTCTACTCTTATTTTTACCCCTTTGATTTGAAAATTTATTGAGCATGAGATGATTGAGATAATTGAGAAGTAGGCATAAGCGTTTAGGATGGGGAATCAGACTGGCCGACAGGAAAAAGTGTGTTTTTCTGCTCTGTCTGTCATCCTTTGAGGATCCTGGCCTGTCTGAGTTCCAGGTGTCCCTGTCTGTAAAATGTATTGGAATCCTTGTTTGGAAAGCACTTAATCGAATTATTTTGAATTCTGTTCTTTTGATATCAAAATGATATTAGTTCATGGGCTTGTTTCACTCATCCACATATGACACCATCTGTGTTCTTTTTCTTATATGTTAATATTTGCTTGCACAGTTTTTAAGTTCTCGGCCATGGGTGCCAGCTACAGTTGGAACCAAATGCACATTTTTTAAAATTTTGTTATTAGACCCAAGGATAGTCCTAAAATAACTTGTTTTAAAGTTCTGGTTTAGTGGTGTTTAGATTAACTTACATGTTTCTATTAAAAAAAAGAAATAATGTAAGTAAATAAACTGCTTAGAACTTGCTGATGCAACAGTTGACTGTATCATTTAAAAATAGTATGTTTTTAAATAGCTGTATATTGGGGGAAAATATAACCCCTATGCCTGTCAGAATACTGAGAGAGGTCATAATAGAACATTTAAAAATATATGTATTGATTAATTAAGAGATAAGACTTTTTGTTTGTTTCTACATGCATATTTTAAGTCAAGCTGACATTTTGCTTTCAGAGTCATTGTTTGGATCTATTTCACTAAAAATCTCCCCAGCACAGTGTCTGTCTCACACTTGTTACCCAGGAACACGACCTGTGTCTGGATCTGTACCTCTCTGTCTACAGCTGTGCATTACACCTGGCCGTCATCACACTGCTGAGAAGTGCCAGCTTTTGTTACTTAGAGATAGTTATGCCAAACCTGCACTAAATTCAGTTTAAAAATAATACCATTGTCACATATAAGTGAAATTCAAGAGAAAAGCCTGTTGTTGGAATTATGTAACCGACCATTTGAGTCTCGGTTTTATCAAGTGCCAAAATGCATTGCAAAGGACAAGTCCTGTCTCTCATAAGTGATAAAAGGCATGGTTAAAATAGGTCATGTATTTTTTTTATTGTGGTCAAAAACATATAACATAAAATTTGCCATTTTAATCATTTCTGGTTGGTACTAACCATTCAGTAGTGTTGAGTATATTCACATTTTTGTAAAATGTGTATGGATTTTTATATTGCCTATATTTTAATGAAGACCTGTGATCACCTTTTTTCTGAATTTCTTGGGTGATAGTCTCTGATTTGGGGGTAATATTTGGATGCAGTGTAATATTTTGTCCTCTCAGTACAACACAAATAGAACTTGCAGCTTCTGCTGCCAGAGCTGCTGTGTGCAATTTATTGTTGGCTTGGTTAAGTGACTGTAATGTTATGTCATTAATACATTGATTTTGGCCCTCTCACCTTAGCTTTTCCATTACAATTAATTGTACTAAAAATAGTTCTGGCACTTACAAAAATTCAGTGAACTGCATCAGTTTTTATTACTGTGATATTTACTTCTCAGCCCCCTCCATTGGCGGTTCTAGAAGTTTGAATTGTGCTTTACTTGCACTTAAGAACCACAGAGTAAGTTTTAAGTGTGATTATATAAGCCACACTGGACTTGTTAATAAATAAGATAGTCTAATTTATATCTTTCATTATTTAATACAGCTTGCAAGCTCTTGTTAAACACACGCTGTCTTCGTAGTGAAGGTATTTTCAGAATTCAGCTCAGCACAACCATTTTGAGGTCTTAGTTTCATATCTCCCATCTCTGCACTATGGAGGTTTTCATTACCCTGGGTCAAACAACTGAAAAGCCCCGTGACCTTTCTGACCCTGCTTTCTTCCACCTCCCCCTCTCCATCACCTCTCATTGACTATCTTCTCCGAAAAGTGATGTTTTCTGATGGGAAATCAGAGCACTGGAGTTAAGAGAAGAGCCTGGCTTACATGTTATGTTAAACAAGTACAGTAGTGTGAAGTCGAGATAGTGTGGTCACACACCAAGCACCAAGTTTAGCTCTTATTTTTTTTCCTTGAGTTTAAGATCGTTCACTGTTTTTATTCCATAAACCTCTGTTTGTGTTCGTTTCAGTATTCCCTTGTAAAGAAGTTTTCTAAGCTGAAAAGTTGGCTGAACAGCTGAGAGTTGAGGTCTCTTTCTCCCTAGGAACATTCTGTATGATCTCTTTGACTATATCTAGGTCATAGGAGTATAAGACCTAGAGTTTTTGTTTAGCTGGAGAAAGGAAATGGAATTTCTTTCTTTCTTTCTTTCTTTCTTTCTTTCTTTCTTTCTTTCTTTCTTTCTTTCTTTCTTTCCTTCCTTCCTTCCTTCCTTCCTTCCTTCCTTCCTTTCTTTCTTTCTTTCTTTCTTTCTTTCTTTCTTTCCTTCCTTTGCTTTGGTACTAAGCAAGTGCCTCCACTTTTAACTCATTGCTCATTTTGCCTGCTAGGGGAAGAAACATTTTCAAACTATGATTGAATATTATACACTGACATTATTTCTAGACTAACTTTACCACTTCTCTGGAGAGCTTCTAATAGGTTCAGAAACTGTAAGGTGGAATGTGGCATTGAACCTGCTGCCCCTTGGAGCAGTGCCAAATTTTGGTTCCTCTTGATATCTATAAATCAGTGGTGATTCTGGGGGGAGAGATTATTCAGATAGGGCAAACTTTTTACTTGTCTGATGTGTGTGAGACAGAACAAGAGAGAATAAAGCTTAATTTTGGATTATTAATAGCTAATTAATCATTTTCAAAATCTACTTTGTCTAGTGAGTTTGAAACACCAATGCTACCCCCCGCCCCCAACCAGGTGGCAGAAATCTGAGAGCCCTACAGTGCCCTGATAATTTTAGGTCTACATTTGTTTGCTGATCAATTTTAATGAAAAAAGGCAATGATCCCACATGATCATG